GTAAATGTAATGTAAGGTGATGCTAAGGTAATGGCACTTGAACAAAGCCAAGAAAAGGTACATAACCTACTGTTACATGCAGTACAGCATCGTCGCAGGGCGCATAATACTTTTATTAGAAGTGAGTACCTATGCAGGCAGTGAGAAGAGAAGGGAAGGGAAAGGAAGGGGTATGACATGGTATTTAAAAGGGGACGGATGGGGGAAGGAAGGGAATTGAAGGGGATAATTCGGAAAAGAGGTGGGAATGACTAATGATGATGATGATGATGATGATTATGATTATGATGGTGGTGGTGATGATGATGTGAAGATGATACGATTGATATAATAATATACTATCTCCTGCTTCCTGCTTGTTCATAAGGTTTATTCACGAGATACGTACAGATGTTCAATAGGTACTCATATTCATAGATATTCAATCAAATGTCATGTTCACATCGATCGATCGATTCAATTCATTTATTAATCCGTTTCAATATCCAATATCCAATGTCAATGTCCAATGTTCGTTCCATTTTGACTTTAACTTTAATAATCTCGGTGCTTCTTTTCCTTTCTCTCCAATGATTTGATTAGAGGAGGGGAAACAATCATTCATCTGGTTAGACTTTGTGGGGGTTGACTTCTTTCGGTGTTGGTCTGGGGTATAGATAACTGGCCTCTTTTGTCCTTTCCTCGTTGGAACGAAACGATGGGGGGATTGGGGATTCATTCGTTGCATTGGATTGGATCCCCAGATATTGGATACGATAGGTACGGCTATACAATTAAGCCTTGTTTGGAGTGAGGGAAGGGAGTGAGAGTCGAGAGATTGATTAGTAAAATGATGATTCGGTGAGTTGTGTTGGGGGGATTTAGATAGATACGAATATACAGATACGATACAGATACAGATGTAGATGAGATAGAGATGTAGATGTAGATATACATACATACATTGGATAAATATCTTTTAATCTCCAGATTTTATCCAAGTCGGTCTAGAGTAATTATCCATCTCCAGCTATCTGTGAATATCTTTCGATCTAGAAGACCGAGATGAAAAGGAAAAAGGAAATGGAAAAGAAAACGAGCTAAAAGAATAAAACTTCCCATCCGAATAATGCTTATCCTCTTGTGCACATTCCCTTACCTAAAAGAGACAAGCGCCGGTGAAATTCAAAAAATCCCACACTTTTTTTCTTCTCCCTTGGACTGGGGACTGACACAAACAACCCACGCCCCCCCATGCCCCTTCCCAACTAGTTACTATACGTACTAATAACACTACTAACTTTTTCCGCCCACGCACACTTCACTTTCCCTTTGCTCTGATACACCGACACTAGTTTAGCGTATTTTTCGAAAAACCCTGACCCATTTGGAAAAATTAAATTCAAATCAGCTTTTACGGTAATGGAAATGCATTTATTATTTGGGAGTTGCACTTATTAGTTACGCTTAACACTTACGCTTGCTTAATACACTTATTAACAACTTCTTCACATCTTTTACATTTCGTATAAGTTGAAAGCAACCCCCCTCTTCGGCACATCTTCTTTTCCGTCTTCTACCCCGTCATTTTGGTATTTTTCGAAGCAAAAAAGAAATCATACCAAGATCCAGTCTCACTTCCTCTACCAAAATCAACATAAACTCATAAACACTATCCGACGCTATACACTCCTCGACGCTATCCAAACGCAGCGCAACACAACACAATCAATCAATCATTCATTCAACAAATCACTCAACCATTAACCTTGATTGAAAGACAACCAACCAGAAATCGAAAAAACCCACCTTGGTCAAACCAAAATACATCCCCCCATCCCGTAAATACTCGTTACCTCATTATATTTATTATTCACAAAAATAAAGTCTCAAAACTTATTATTCACTCCCGCTCTCCTCCGCTTCGGCCTTACTACAAGTGAACATAACCCACTTTATTAAGGCTCACCCACCATTACCACTTTGTATATATCACTGACGAATTCCCCCCCAATTCCAACCACTTCAAAAAAAAAAGTTTTCGGCATTTTTGATTCGAAATTGACTTTTGTCTTCGTCTCCTCTTTTAACTCTCCGTACTATTCCAATCGCATCTCAAGTCTTCCTTTTTAGGTTATTAGACTTTATCGAGGGAGTAGGGGAAATAAAAAGTCAACACTACAAATTGCACTTATTCGCTGCGGCGGCGATCACATGCAACGCGCTTCTTCCGCAGTAGATTTTAACAGTCTACTGAATCCTCAGTCCACTCAGGAAAGAGAACATCAAGCTGCTCGACAGAAATTGGCCTTGATTCAGCAGCAGCAGCAACATCAAAGAGAAGCAGAAATGGCTGCCATCAGTATGATGCCAGCTATGGTCGGTGGACACCATGGAGATGATCGTCAAGATTTACCTCGACCATATAAATGTCCTTTGTGCGAAAAGGCATTCCATCGTCTCGAACATCAAACTAGACACATTCGGACTCACACGGGCGAGAAACCTCATGCTTGTTTATTCCCTGGCTGCACAAAGCGATTTTCACGTTCTGATGAGCTTACCCGACATTCGAGGATACACAACAATCCAAACTCGAGAAGGAGTAACAAGACACAACAAGCTCCTCAAATGGGTGTCCCCATGCATTCAGAGTCGATGGCTACCATGATGCCACCACCAAACAAGAACATTACGAGATCAGCACCACCATCCGCTATTGGTAGCCCGAATGTGTCACCACCCCACTCGTATACTTCCTACAGCAGCAATCACCTTTCGAGTCTCAACCCTTACGGAAGAAGTTTAGGAGGAAGCCCGAATAATGGTCAAGCCCCTCTCACAGACATCAACATGCTAGCTACTGCGGCGACACAAGTTGAGAGAGACAGCAGCACAACCGCAAATCATTACTCGCAAGCACGCCATCAACCGTATTATAGTCACAGTAATCACAACAGCAGAACTCATCTTCCTTCGCTCCAAGCTTATGCCATGACGAGAGCGCATTCCCATGAAGAGGATGATCATTATGCTCATCGTCACGCGAAACGTTCTCGACCCAATTCACCAATGTCGACAGCACCCTCTTCACCCACATTCTCTCACGATTCCCTCTCTCCAACTCCTGATCATACTCCGCTCGCCACTCCTGCGCATTCGCCTCGTCTGAGACCTTATGGCGGTGGATATGATTTGCCGGGTATTAGAAATCTGTCTCTTCATCACACTCCTGCTCTTGCACCAATGGAGCCTCAACATCTCGATGGTCAATATCATGCTACCAGCACCACCACAACGGCTACAAGTGCTCCAAGAATGGGTCTTACCATTTCTGACATTATGTCAAGAACGGATGGTAGCACGAGAAAATTACCAGTTCCTCAAGCTCCGGTCGCTGTACAAGATCTTTCGAGTCCTGGTGAAATTGGTTTTAACACAAGTGGTCAAAGTAGTACCACTGGTAGCGTTGCTGGAAACGATCTTGCTGATCGTATGATCTGAGGATGATACCCTGGCATTGTCTTCAACTTTTTTTTTTCTGGAACACTGATTGCACGACTTTCAATGCTCCAATAAATCAAATGGTAATATTGTTATTTCAGGCGGTTAAATCTTCACCAATATAATGGTTACGAAATTACCATGGACATTTCTTCATCACGAAATGACACGTGTCAAACAAATAATTACTACGATTAATATCACCTCATCGAGCCTATTGTCAAACACCACTCATGACCTCATCAGAGTCAGTATCTCGACTCCTCACTCAACATTTTATTTGGTTCATTGATTTGTTTACCTTTGCGGCATGGACGGGGTTTTGATTGTATATTTAGAGCGGCATCTTCAAACTATAGACTACTTTTTTTTCTTTTTGAATCAATCGATTCTCCTTATTAGGAGCATCTCACGGCTGGCACATTTCCTTTTATTTGTTTTCATTAGCTTTTTATTTTTCTGTTCACGGAGCGCGGGGTTTGGGATGCATTTTTGGCATTCTGGGAAATTACATATCCTGCAGGTGGATTTATAGACATGGGAAATGGGGAGGATAGGGATGGGGATGGATGGGAAGGGGCAATTCGAGGAAGAAAAGAGATTTATCTCGTCGTGGTTGGGGATGTGATGGAAACAGAGCAGAGCAGAGAAGAGCAGAGCTATTGAATGGAAGGGACGGGATGGAAGGGTGGATACATGATTGTGCGGTGGTATTAGCTTAGCTTAGGTAGCTAGATTTTGGTTGATAGTAACATCAACAACCAAATAAATCAATTGAAATGAATCGAAATGAGAATTCAAGAATATCATATTGTAGTTTGGGGATGATTTGAGTGATACTTGATTACTTGGATCGGTTTTTGTAATGGTTGTAACAAATAGATGGGTAAATACTAGTCTCGCATCCGTATTCATTCATTCACCTTGTCTTTATTATTATATTATTGCATCATTATATGAGTAGTCCAGTCGTATCAACATAAGAAGTAAGTATATGTATGTATGGAAGGAAAGTTCGTGGAAATGGTATAGAATTGACATAAGTGTGCGTTTATGTGATTGTGATTATGATTATTCATTTCTCTAGGTATTCTTTACTTTCTGTGATGTTGATAGATAAATAAAATGAGAGATGAATGTGTAGATGGATGAATAAATGGATGAATGTATAGATGGTATTTTTGAGATAAGATCATTAGAATTATTATATCTAAATAAATACTTTGGTGTATAGGAGATTTTTAATGAGGTGAGTGTTACGAGGTTTGCCGTCTAGATCACGTGGAAGTGCTCTAGGCTCTCGAGGTGGTTTATAACTAGGCGTCAAGCAGGGAATTAAAGTAATGACAATAATGCAATTCGTAACTAATAGTAGAGTATACTAAATGATTGATCTTGAGCACGAAGCTCTATACAAAGGAAATCCATCTTGATTATATAGACCTTCGTGTTCTAGCTGATCAGTAGGATCAGTATGGCTCAGTACTGAGCTTGCTGATCCTCACTGAGTCAGTCACATGATATTGGTAACACGTGAGCGTCTTCTTGTTACCCGGCGTAACAGTGAGGTGAAGTGAAGTTGTATAGAGTGAGTAGGTAAGTGAGTGAGAGAATAATATGTTTTGAGAATGATTTATATATATAATTGTATTTTATATTGTTTTTTATTAATTACTTTTTGATCTTCTTAATTAATATATATATTTATTAAATTTTTAATTTTTAAATTTTGATTCATTTTTAATATAAGTTGATTTTATTAGATTTCTTTTTTAAATTATATATATTATATTATTATTTTTCTTGTTTTTTACTAATTAATTTTTGAATTTGATATGTATATTTATTAAATTTATTAAATTTTTCTTAAATTTTATATATATATTAAATATTCAAATATTGAATATATAATTTTTTTTTAATATAATTTATTTATTTTAAAAATTAATTTTATAAATTTATATTAAAAGGAATGACCTTACACAGGGAATAGTGGGAAGCTGATAGGGCAGAACTGAGGCTATATTGGTCTTGTATATAAATCACTCATTATCTAAGTTCTACGGAAGTGCGAAGCTTTCCTACAGAGAGCTTCTCAATCTAGTCCTAATAGGACTAGTGCCCTGTGCATGTGCTATGCAGGAACCATTCAGTTTAACAGTTTATATATTTATTAATAAAAAAGAGTTTTTTCCTTTTAAAGTTTGTTTTTGAAGATAAAAAGATTTGTGAAGTAGTTTGAAAGCTTAAAGAATTTAGGGGATTTAGAGTATTTAAAGAGATTTTAAAAGAGGTTGCGGGTCTAGAGGATTTAATAGGTTTTAAAAGAATTTAGTTAGTGATTTGTGAGGTCCAGGATTTAGGGAATTTAGAGAATTATAAAAAAAGAAACAGGGTTTAAAGGATTTAAAGAGATTTTAAAAAGGTTTGTGGGGTCTAGGGGATTTAGTTGGTGGTTTGTGGGGTTTAGGCAGATTTAGAGAGGTTTAGAGAGGTTTAGAGAGACTGAGAGAGGTTTAGGGAGCTTGACGGCTCTACTTAGAGTTTAAGATTTGCGTTTGGACTGGACTGGACGATCATAGAGGGGTAGAAATACGTATATGTATATCTATATGTACCCCGCATTGGTTTTGGGGATTTGGTGGCGAGAAAGAGAAAGAGAAATTTGGATTGAGGATTTATTGATTGCATTGGTAGTGGTAATTAGTAGTTGGGCTTATGTAGTTAGGAGTAAGGAGTAGAAGATAGATACTTGATGTTTGGATTCTAGATGTGGTCTTTTTGTTGTTGTAAGACTTACTTGTAATAAGTTGCTGTTATTAAGGTTTTTGGGGTATGAAATGACGGATTGGAGTGTGTGGAGTGTGTGTAGTATGATTTCATGATTAGGTAGGTAGTCTTGGATTTATTGGATAAGAATGAATTGGTTGGTCTTAGAGGTTCTGGATTTGGGAATTTTTAGCTGGATGTGAGGGATGGAGGGATAGGATTTGGTTGGAGGGAGATTCGTTGAAGATTTGGGTGTTAGTTCTATGTGGTGGGTGGGACATGGAATGAGAATAAGAGTATTGACATGTGAAAATGTAGAAAGAATTTTTTTAGTACAGTAAGTATCAATCACATGTTTGTACTTTTGTGTTTCTATATCTTTAATCTAGTCTTGGAATTGGGAGATGATTAAGATGAGATTAAAACTTGTATTTGGATTACAGAAATGGAAATATGGTAATTGGTGTTCTCTCTCTTAGATTTACAGCATCAATTGGATACAACTAGATGCATATATGTGCGTTAAGCGGATAGGAAGCGAAGGAAACTAAACGGAAGGAATGACAGAGGAAAAGGAGACTGAACTCCGTTATTTAAAGGGATATCCGAATGAGATGAAGCTGGTTGTTTGTCGGACCGATATGTATAGTGAAATATTTCGATAGTATGTATACCTTTCGCGAGTATAAAAGGGGAAAACGGGATGGGAAAAGTAGGAGATACACTATGTATTGATATGCATGAGGAATTCCCGTGTTTTTTTGCGGAGATGTGAGAATTGATTACTTGGCAAGTCAATTATATCATCAATAGTACTACGTATGTACTCGGGTGTTTTTTCTAAATATGGAGGGCTATACACAATGTATATGTGTGTCGCGTGATGTAATATATGTTTACAGTGATGAATTTTATATGATAGCGACATATTAGGAGATGAATGATATAGATAATACCATGGAAGTTGGAACGATTGCCAGGTTTTGGGGATTTGTGGATAGAGTTCCTTTTCTGATCCTATCTGTTTCGTTCTTATTCTTATTCAATAAATTATCTCCAAGACTCTAATCGGGATCTACTTCCGATTGATGGAGGAGTCATTCGTTTACTATACTATAGGTATTCAATGCATGTCCAATATACAGAATTGGAAGTGAACCGAAGTATAGTGAAAAGGTTGAAGTACCTGAATATGTATCAGGAACAATTCAAGCCTATTACATAGGGTATATGAAAATCTCCGGATTTTAAGATATACGATAAGGTACGGGCAACTACATATCGGTACTATTTCCCGTCTTCCATTGATCCTGTAAAAGAGATGATGCAACGATATTCCTGTACTTCAATCTTTCACCACACTTCTTCGCGGCTATTTTCGAATGAACAAGTAAGTATTCGTAACATTCTATGTACCATGGATATAAATGCATACAAGTCCTAAAAGCATGTACTTCGATAAGATTTCGTAAATGTACGGACGATTTCTCCCGGAACCACTCGGTTTAAGTATAAAATGTATGATGATACTTCAAGATACATATGGAAAGAAAGACCGAAGCGGCTAGGAACCATGCAGACTTGTACATATTTTACATACTGTCAAAAGCATCTCCACGAAGAAGAGAAGTCGTACAACACAATTGTATATGTACATACAAAGTAACCATCAAAGATACTTAGATGCAGCTGTCAATACAACCTCATGCCAATTTCATCCACATCCATCCACATCCACACCGAAAAGCCCAAATCTAGACATACACGTTATAAAATTACGTGACAATAAATGCGGTCTGACTTGCAGAGAACAGGGGAAAGAGAAGGGTTACAGTAGGATTAAGTGGCACGAAAAGAAACCAGGGCAAGGAAGCTGAACTGGCCAGATCTAGCTTCAGCGTTTTAACGGCGCGCGCCGATGCGTGACAACGGGTAGGAATTTAATTTTCAAGGGGTCATTTCAACCGCTGTGGGAAAGTTTTATGGGGTATGTGGTGCATGAAGAAAGAGGTGGGTTCTTGGAAGGGTTGCGAATGGTGCGGAATAATCGTTGGGCGTTTCCGAATGCGGTCGTGTACATATTGGGTGTGTGTAGGGGGAGTCTTGGAACATTTTGTGGGGTAAGTGATGTTTTGATATGGTTTCATTTGGGGGTTCATGGTTGGTTGTGCTGTTTTGAAATATCCTACATGTATGTGTGTGTATATTGTGCTTATAGAATGAAGATGAGGAGATAAAAAGTGGTAAGAAATATATCGTAGCATGATTTTATCAAAGTTATCGTATGATACAACTCCATTCCAGTCTACGAATACATAAGATCTTACATGATGAAGATTTAATACAAGCCACAAAACGATGTATGAGACAAGCTGCTCGTATCCAAATTTTGCTAAAGTCAGGTTCTCAGGGGATAATGAGAGATAAGGCCGACTGGCCTTGGATAAAACCCGTTGAGATTCATCCTTCCTTCCAAGGATGCTTGTTGGATGCAACATATATTGTACTCGGTATGTTTTTACCGGACGATGTGGGGTGTCTCAAGGTGATACGAGGGGAAAAGAGGGATAAATAGAGATTTTCCCTTTTCTGAAAACGGGATACGACGTTGACACGCGAGAGATGGAGAAGATGAAGATGATCTGATTCATTTATGGATTAATGAATTGGACAATGTGAGATTTTATTGGTGTGTAGCTTGGAGAAATGGTGTGAATGAATGACTGCCGTACTTCGGTACTGCAGATGATGATCATCTCGTGGTCAATCATTTTCATGAATCATGATGAATGATTGAAAGCTCGTGACCAAAGACGGGAAGGGAAAGAAGATATACTGATATTGATGTGAAGTCTGTAGATAGGATAATATCAAATCGATGATATTAATATGTGTGTAGCTCAATCCGGGAATCTGGTAGTGTGATGTTTTGCGCAAGAATGTCGTGCATTTAATATATTGCTTGGCCGGTCATAATGACTATCTTGCGGCTATATTCAATACTAGAACACTATTGAAAAGTAGAGAACGGCCTGGATGATATCAGGGATATTTGATGATTTTTGAATGGTGATCAGACGCGATAGAGGTCTCTTGTGTTACGGTGAGGCGGGATAATAGGGACTTTTTTCCGAGGAGACGTCGAAAAAAGAAAAGGTAAAAGGCGGGGAAGCGAAAAAAAGGGGAGCTGAGAATGAGTTATTGGTGCAGATCAGGAGGCGGCGAAAAGATTGGGTGGGGATGGATGTGGAACGTGATATATCTTGTAATATACAAATGAAGTGTAGGGTTTCAAAACCCTAAGTATATTCAAGAAAGCGGCTAATATGATAAATGATAGAATGAGAATTTCTTAATGTAAACCGTGGTACTGGAGAATTTTCAGCATTTAGCAGATCTAATATGGTCATCACAAATATTGAGTATATTGGAAGTGATGGAGCTATTCTGATATGAAGGCGAACGAGAGATGAAGCCAAGAAGGCTAAGATATTGTACTGGAATGATTGTAGTGGAAGCAAAGGGATAAATATCTTCCATTATTAAGGATAAATATGTCTAAAACATCAAACAGATATATAAATAATACAAACCAAATCATTGGGGGAAGATATTCCGAACAAGGAAATTGTCTAGAGATCTTTGGATGCGACACAAGTTCTCGGAAAATTATAGATTATTGAATTTTCTGATATAGATCACCTTCTATGAAAAGACGGAAGAAAAGAAATATGGCTTGAGCGATTTGATCTAGTTTGAATCCATTCGAGATTTTGTCTATCAGATCTTTATATTGTGGAGATATTTCTCGGTCTTGTCTAGAATTGTGTAGGTTATTTCATGGTTCATGGGTGAAAGTGAGGGGAAATCCTTATCGTGCCGCATTTCACATGATAATAAATACAATTGGGGAAATGAGTGAGGAATTCTACGATTAACACATCGAAGTTGAAGAATAAGAGAAACCTTCAACCTTGTGGGGCAGCTTGGCATTGACATGTGGATTAGATTCCACAAGTTGGAGTCTTAAATTCAATGTGGCTGGGAATGGTATGGTGTAGGTTCATTTGTTGACTTCAATCATTTCGTAATAATACAAAGTATAAATCTTTTCGAATCGTTATCTTTCCGGGAGAGTTCTTCCAAGAAGTAGCTAACCTTTTTCTCCGCCTAGGTAAGTATTGTTGGAAAAGCCATATAATGACGAATCCAAGGAATGAGGACAAACCAAATAATACCCGGGACTGGAGCAGCGTGGGGGATCCATCCTTGGAAAGCGGTGTCTACAGGAGGAAAACAATCTTCGTCCAAAACATATACCGGCTGCAGTAAAGGTGCCATTTAGTCAATCCCATATCATCATCTATTGCCCAAATCCGTTATGGCTAAGCCACAAGCTGAGTTGATCAGCAAGCGCTCACCTCAGATTGCTGACTTTGAAATATTTGGTACTGATATGCCCTAATCTTTCGCCCGGCGAGGCCGTATGAGCCTGGGGTTACAGTATGCGTTGAATTCCAGAGAAGTGGTTGCATTATCCGGAGTTGAGCACCTCGTACTTCTGCCTATTGATGTTGCTCAAGGTCAAGATAAGAGAAAGCTATTTTGGAATATTGGAATGGCAGTAGATAGTAGTGGTACCTCGCAAGTCCGGCGCACCATATTGACAGATTATCATCAACCTAAAGCGCAAAATTTCGAATTTAAATATTATTTCACTCCGTATTGTCGTACAATTAGGTGTTTGGTTTGCTCGGCAAGACTTGGAATTGCGGGGCGCGGGGTTTGGTGATGTGGAGAGAACTATTAAGTGATCTAGAACCTCACTTATCATTTCAATCAAGTTTTCTAGATGATGATAAAATTCAAAAAACGACGTTCGAATTAAAGAACTACCTCTTTTGGAAATGGAAAAAAGGACAACAGATATTTCAATGTTCCTTAAGTAGGTAATTCTCAAGGATACAGAACAATAGTCAGTGCTTTGCAGACGCCACCTAATTTGCGGGACAACGATCTTGCATTGCCTGAACGGTTTTTTTAATATATCGACTGAAGTCTAAAAATTATGGAATATGATCCGATTGTGTGTCTGCTCTTTAGTTCTTACTCAAAGGAAACATGACATGATAGGAGTAATAGCCAATCAATCCGAAAGGAGCAAAACAAGTTTTAAAACAATTCCGAGATCGACCGGATAACAGATAAAGCATGGATAAGAGATTAATGTTGTGATAGACAAACAATCTAAAGGATGGAATCATGCCGGTCAATCTTACTGTGCAGTTTGAAGGATGCGAGAAGTGAAACTACCCTTTGCAGAAAAGGACTTTTTATCATGTGTTACTAGACTACTTCAAAAATGTCTAGAACGATTCCAATCACTAGCATCACAAAGACAACGTGACAGAGAGAAACAGCAATGCTTGCACGGTCCGAAATTCCGGAGAAAGAAAAATATCTGTACTGTATGAGGCGAATGCGGAGATCTGGGGTAATAGTCATCTGAAGACCAAAAACCATAACACTAATTCAAACGAGCTTCTTTTTGCAACGTATGTCTTATTTCTCGCGACGTACAACATGTTGGTCATTTTTGCGCCGTGTGACTGCGGAGCAAGTGATTTGTGATTTGAAGAGGGAAGTTCAAACGCCTCAAAATCAAAAGTATCCGTCCTGTTTGTTGATCAAACGCCATCGACCCCGCGATTTCGATTCCTGGAGAAATGCTCTCCTCGCTTGGCGTGAATCATCCATTCATTTATCATTGAGTCTGTGAAATTTTTGTTGTTTTCAATTCGCTTGCTTCCGACAGAGACGGCTGATAAATTCATAATGTCTAACATTTTATAGGTTTCCAAGCTGGTATGAGAAATATGAGGCGTAATTCAGGTCTTAGATATATGTCGTGCGTGAGCCATTATTCGGGACATTTCCGAGCCCACTCATGCTTGCGGATGATTTATAACTCTCCGGCATCGTAAGCACGAGATGAACGTTATGATGTGAGATTTTCGTGTTGTTGATACATTTTTCTTCATGTCATACAACATTGCATATCTCTTAGTATCTATTTCTACAATACAGAACGATTGAACATCCCCCATGAAGGCACAACCACATCGAGGATGCGGAGCTTAATCAGGTACGAAAGCAAGATGGCCATGGCCATATGAACGAGACTATGGATACGATAAAAAATCAGTTAGTCTAGATCCTCGCAAACAGCCTTGTGCGGCGTAGATACCATTTTCATTTTTTCCACGTTGGGGTAAATTCGGAAAAAGGACCTTTTAAGTAACACGACGGGAGCCGATTCATACGTTAAGATAAGGAGTAGAAAATGTGATGACGAAAAAAGCAAAAGGTGACATGTCATCTCGGCTACACGCAGGAGCATTGAGATTCGGAATTGAAAGATTCCACGATGTCACTTCACGATGTGACCATGCTTTGTCTCGGTGTGAAATGTGCAACTGTGGGGGTTCTTTGGGGTAGTCGGTGTGAGGAGATAATGAAGAATGATAAGCTTGAGTGATTGGAGTTCATTGATTGGAAGATTGAGATAAGAATGTGTTAGGGGTGTTAGGCTAGATAATTGTCAACTGTGAAGTTCCGCAGACAATAATATCAAATGCAGTGAAAATAATGAAATCGCCGAGGATTGTTTAGCTTACCGGCTATATGAATGCTTCATCCTCTAGAGAATGAAAATGTGATATATATGTTGAAGTTGATATCTTTCCTTTTGCCGAACTCGAGGAGATTTGGGCTCAGGGGGCACAGTGAAAGGCCCCGAAGGATAAGCGAGTGCTCATTCTTTTCCCCTGAATTATACCCTAAATCATTGTGGGTCTGGCGTGTAATGACTGCCAGTATAGTCACCGTGGCCATTGCAAATAGTACTTTGAATCTCCTAGGAATCCACTAGTGATGAATTCATATTTTTCTTCTCCAAAAATGTGGCTTGCCAAAGGTCGTACTGATCTCTAAAGCAAGATTTCTGATCGCAATATCGAGCACGTCATGCATCTCTCGAAATCTAGAACGTTTATTTTGTGTTTTAATCACATATATCTGGAGCTGATAGGTCATGGGAATATCATTGTATCCTGAAGTTAAAGGTTGGTTTCTTTTGGAGAATTGACTTCATCTGTCTATATGCCTTTTCTCCTGTGACTTCTATACTAGGCACTCGTTTGTAAAAGGAGAGAAGTCCATAATACCTTGAATACCATACTATGGAGATGTAAGCAATAGGCAAATCTTATGAGAAAATGTATCTTTATTTAAGCTTTCCAAATGGATTGATAGAGTGTGTGACAATAATTGATGAGTCAAATGGACAAAATCAGTCTTTACTTTGAATAGCAGATCAAGGCTAAGTGACGTCTTTGTACTGTGTAAGGAATCATAACATCGGAATGATGGTCTAGATATACTTTACTATATGGAACGGAGAAGGCTCGGTTCACTTTTAATGTTCAGTCAGAATTAAATTGCATGGGCGGTTGATGAAAACGTTGCAACTATCGGCTTTGAGCTTCATACATGAAATCCGCTGAAGAGGGATCAAAATCTAAATGCCGTCACCATTGAGTGCTGTTCGTGATATTTTGCAGTCAACAACCAGGCCTTGGAGATACTATCATGCTGTTCATACCACATGTATTCACGAAGCTTAGCATAGGTGCCTTTCCAATAACATATCCTACATTTAGTTTTAATTATCTGGTCTAATTACTTAATAGGCATATTTTCCTAATCATTCCGTACTCGCTGCCCCCCTTATTCTCCGGCGTTTATGCTCGACACCTGTGTTTTCGACTAATCTCTCCGGACAGATCACTTCAGTCGCCCAATCCTGACTATAATAGAAATTACTTCTTCTCTCTACCCTCAGCTAAATCTTTTAGTCCTTGATGGTGAGTTCTTGCATTCCACATATATTCATATATAAACGAGCAAATCTTGAAGTCACGACTGGTTTGAGGCGTATTCAATAGTCCAGACTTCAAACCAACAGTGAAAGAAAGGCTTTTGGATCCCTGGATTGATTTGAGATATTCAAATCCGTTAAAGTAACAAATTATGCTTGAATATTTATAACTTTTTAATTATGAATTATAATCAAAATATTCAAACTATTCGAAACATTGAATTATATTCAGACATTTCAAAACATTTAGAACGTTGTGAATTTAATCTAGTTTACCAGTCTGGAAAATCAGAACCCTGATGGTTTGAAAACAAATCACTATCTCTACGCCATTAGGTCAAACAAAGAATGAATCAAGAAGCAAAACAAATTTTCAATATAATGAGTCAAAAAAATGTATTAAAAATCATGGATTTAGATCATGTAATGTGAATGACTGGATTTCTTTGTTCTGTAAGTCTCGGGTACCAAAAGCCTAAGCAAACGGAGAAGAATATGGTGGGATTCGTCGAATTTATGCAGGGCGTCTGTAGCTTCCCGTCGACAGGTTGGGACAATCTCAAGCATTATGCAGAAGGCTGAAAGAATGATGATAAAAATGCATCAAAAACCGAAGACAGGGCTGGAGTATGATCGAGGCAAATTGCTTTTGTGTAGATACAAATACCGAAAGAGTGCCTCGGATTTTTTCACTCTAGAACCAGTCTTCAGAACTACCTTATTCTTAATAAGAAGTAACGATGAGTCCAACACTTATGCCAGCTGCAATCGCATTCGCGGTCATATTTCTCTTGCGTTGCATTCACACTGCGATGTACGGCCGCTTTCGCAGGGATTGTACCTGCAAGAGAAATCATATTCACATTCAGGATCTCTCCAAAGCAACCGCTATTCTCAAATCCTCGACCCTCCAATCCCGCGCTCTTCCTAATCAGCGTCTTGTCTCTGTTTTCTTCATTTCAAATGCTTTTACCACGACTGACCAAGTCGTCTATAGCTCCTTTCTTGCAGAAGCGAAAGATCTTCTAAAGACTTCCAATGATGATTTCTTTGGCCTGGCACATGATACACTACGTCTGACTCGAGATATATCATCGGTTCCGTCCACTAAGCCTATACAACTGAACTCGCTAATCCAAGTCGTCTGCTTTCGATTCGTCCTTCTCAAATTCTTTCCCTCTACAACCGTGGTTCCTTCCTCGGACTCGTCTATCCCTGGTATAACTGAACTCATAAATGAACTTTGGATATCATCTAAGTGTTCCTGTTCCTTTGACGGTTCACATGTGTCGAAGCAAGACTTGCTACAACACGAAATTGATTTACTGTTTCCTCACCTAAAAAATGGAAACGATGAAAACCCACTGAACATTATCCTTCCCGCATACGAAACACTATGGCGAGTCGTTCTTCGCTGCTTCCTAGAAGTTTCATTCCTTAAGCTCTCCGATGTCGCGACGCAATGGAAGAAGATCATCCATGATTTTCTGCAGAATATAAGCCCAGAACAGTTCAGTGAACGGAAAGGAAGATGCTCAGCTCAGGATATTGTGTTTGAATCTCTCCGACTATATCCGCCAACAAAAAGAATATATCGTCAAAACCAGAAGGATGGATGGATCGCCGCTATCGATGTTGAGTATTTACAGAGGACTGAAGAGATATGGGGTGCGGATGGAAGTGAGTTTAGACCTGAGCGATGGAGTGAATTGGAAAATGGTAATGATAAGACATACAAAGAAGCGTGGATGCCGTTTGGGAATGGTAGTTTTCGATGTCCGGCGAAGAAGGTGGCGCCGATGATGATTGCAATGTTGGTGGGATGTTTGGTTGAGACTTTTGGTAACGGCCAGTGGGTTTTGGAAGATGTATGCGGAGATAATGAGATATTTAGGGGACAACCCTTGGACAATGGGAGGGATGCATTTGGAAGTGTCTTTTTGAGACGGGTTGAAGTGAGCTAAAGGTCTGGGTGGGAGGTGTGAGAGACGCGAAGTTTGATTGGAAAAATGTGGGTATTAGGCGGACGCTGAGTAGATAATACTGCTTATAATTCAATATAAAACAGGTTTTAATTTCCAATATTTGGTATAGCAATATCAATAGATTTTTTACACGCCCGCTTTGTCTTGAAATGATGATATTCAAAGCGTAGATAAGGAAACTGAAACTGACTGACAATTAATCATCTAAGGACTGATTCCTTGCCATCACTATTCTCACCTCTTTGCAGGCTATGATTATTACCCAGATGAGCCACCTTTGAAAGCAGACGCCTAGTCTGTGCTACAAAAATGGAACATGCGACGCTTAATTAAGTGTGGCAGTACTCGAGTATCCATGAGGACATTCCTCCCACAAAACATAGGCTCCGATATAAGTGGGCCACCTAACTAACCAATAAGCACTGCGCTACTGACATGAATAGACATGAAATAAAAATAGCACAAGCTAATCCCTGAAATCTGTTTATTTACATAAGATCAGCTAGAATACACTCCTTATCCTTGTAACACTGATCCATTGAAGATGAGCAACAAAAACGAAAGAAATCTTTTAGTAGTGTGATATCAATCAATCGGCAGCAAATAGTTGAGGGTAGTAGCTGGTTAGTCCCCAGACTAATACAACATCGGTTAAGGAGATTTAGGGGGTAATTAGACACTTTCTTTCGGGTACAAAACTAAATGACTATTTACTTATCATTTTGAATATCAGTCTTGCAATTATATGGAGTGATTGACGAAATATAGCAAAACTCAAGATTTTTCGGACCTAGAGAATGGAGGAACTTACAAGCAGGAGTGATTCCCAAATATCACGTGAAGCCCCAACATTCGCTAAACGTCATCGACATTAAATGCGGGGAAAGATCTTCTGGTAAAATTGACATCACTAATTTTAGGCATGGAAAACAAAGATGATGGGAATTGGGATCGGTGATTAGCTTTATTCTGAAATTGCATGTTTTGTTGTCCTAATTTTATTGTTTACTTGTTACTTTCCGACTTTCCGAACATTGATTGCGTGATGGCTTGAAGGTGTGAATACATTTTGGATAAATTTCCTCTAGTAATCCCTTTCTTTTACTCTCTCTCAAACCAATCAATCACTCTAATATCTGCCTTTAAATCAACAATCATGTCTCGAAGTGCATTATTACGTATCAATTGTCCCAAACCCCTCTTGGGGATGACGTCTATGACGTTTGCTAAATCATCCCATCGAAGCATCGGCAGAGTTCCATACCGGACTATTTACTCCATAAATCAACTTCATAACCATCCGAAGACCTTCTCCAATTCTCAATTCCAACAATCTCGAAACCAATTCTCAACTACATCCAAAATGTCTGATTCAAACAAGAACTTTCTTTTGAGCAACGTGTTCAACGTGAAGGGCAAGGTAATTTCCTCTTCGTCGTAAAAGATATAGACTCAAAAACTCACATTAACTAGGTTGCCCTCATCACAGGTGGTGGATCTGGAATCGGTTTGATGGCAACTCAAGCACTAGCTGTCAACGGTGCTAAAGTTTACATCGTGGGTCGAACTGAAGAGAAGCTCGAAAATGTCGTCAAGCATCACGGTCAAAATATCGAGGGAGAAATCATTCCCATCACTGCAGATATTACCCGCAAGGACGAGATCGCTCGTCTAGTAAAAGAGATCGAATCCAAGGAAGAATGCCTTTGTATCTTGATCAACAATGCCGGAGTCTCAGGAGAGACTCAACAAACCGAAGCCAAGACCGCCGAGGAAATGAAGGAGAATTTGTTTGATGACGAGAGTTCAACATTTGAGGATTGGTGCAACACCTACCGCACTAATGTTCCTCAATTATTCTTCATGACAATAGGTTTTCTTCCACTGCTTCAAAAAGCTTCGCAGACTCAATATGGATATTCTGGAACCGTGATTAACATATCATCTATTTCCGGCATCGTCCAATCTGCTCAACATCATTTTGGATACAACGCCAGCAAAGCCGCAGCTATCCAATTGACGAAGATGCTTGCCTCAGAGGTTGCGGAGAACGGATTGAAGGTTAGAATTAACAGCATTGCACCAGGCGTATTCCCAAGCGAGATGACTGCAGGTGGAAAGAGTGGAGAGGATCAAAAGAGTCATCTTGAGAAGGAGAAGTACGAGAAGGTTCCCGCGAGAAGACCGGGTAAGGATGAAGATATGGCTAATGCTGTCTTGTTTGCGGCTACCAATCAGTATTTGAATGGTCAGACGGTGGCTGTTGATGGTGGATATATCTTGCATGCTGGTGCTTAATGATTTTATAAGGTTTGGATGTGTATGATAGAGCTATATTGTGATGATGGATACGGCATCGGGGATGAATTAAAAGTATTAATTCAATTTTTGAGTGGTTTCCCATGGTGAAGTGAGAGAATAACCATGGTGCATTAATAATGTCGTCAGATATCTCGGAACCCGGAGACGTGAGGACGAACTAAATGACTATTTTTGAAGCCGTTGCCAAATATCGGAAACTTTCGGGAGGGAAACCTGTTGATAGAAATAACGGGCTGAGACTAGCCTTCTCTAACGCCGCACTACCGACAGATCATGTCCAAGCACCGCGAGTGTCGTTCAAAAAGTCCGCAACTCGGTAACCAAAACATATCCTTGGGGTGTTTCCCCCATTTGGAAGTATAGGCTAAGTTACCCGTACAACTTATTTAAAACATGCAGAAAGCATGCTTACGTACAGAATTTTGAACCATTCTATCTCCACACTTGAGCTCAAGAACATGTCACATTCAAGGAATAATATCCTGTATCTTTTAGTCCTCTCCAAGACTTACCCCACAAAATTCAAATTTTATGTGTGAACAAGTAGATTTGTCCGAAGTCGGAGACTTGCAGAGTCAGTTTTGACAGACTGTTTTTAATCTTCCAGCATTTGACATATCGGTCGTTCAAATTAACCTTGCGTAGCTCCTTATGATAAGCGCGCAAACCCAGTTCCCAGATATCGATCCATCTAGCCAGATTTTAGCGCAAGAACCAACCCAAAACCGTCGAGTACGAACGGTTTGGTGCGGTCGTTAGCTTCAACTTCGATATCGTACGAACCTGATTTCCGTGGACATAAGTCTTGCCTAGCGTTGTACAATTGCCAAGTACTGTGTGTTATAAGACGTCATAGTTGGGCAGATTAAACCTCGTCTTTCCCTACGGTATTGGACTTGTCTACTTAAGGACTCCACAACTCCTCTCTACGTCTCCTCTAGCATAAGCATATACATATACACAAACACAAACACAAACACATACCTGCACAAATACAAACACAAATACAAACACAAATACCAACACAAATCCAAAGATTCTCTGAAACAAACTTCGACGTATCAACACTATGTCTACGATGGAGTTGGCCATCAATTACCAATCGAAAGGTCAATGGCACTTCTCAGACCCTGTGTCTGGTACTCACTTCGGATCCAAACCCACGGACGTGTCTGATCCATTATTAATACCAGGTGCATGGCTCCTCGTGGATAAAAAGCAAAGAGCATATGCCATGGCCAGTTCTAATTCTGGCATGCTAATCGAACTGAAGCGCAGAATTTGGAGTTTTTTCACTTGCGAGAAACTATCATTCAAATATGTTGCTCCTACTGAATCAGCCGAGCTTTCGGGGACGTATAGGTGGAAATATGATAAGAAGACGACGAAGTATGTGTTGACGAAGAAGAGGGATCCATTGCGTCGGGTGTTCGCCACGTTAAATCTTGATAAGGTTTATCCTACAGGTATTCCTGGCAAAATGCAATTATTTGACCAGGCTAAGGCTTTGGCACCGGACCATGCTCTTTTAAGTATGGACAATGAGTTTGCTTTGAAGGAATTGGATAAGTTTATCATACTGTCTACTCTTGAAATACTTTTTCGGGAAGAGAGAAGGCCGAAATGCTACTGGGACGATGAGAAGGACGTGGCTTACTGGCCAGCGCAAACGAGAGATGTGAGGAAGTGTGGATGTTTGTGTCACTGCTTTCCCGGGGAGTGTACTCCGACCAAGCTCGCGGACAAATCGGAGGAGAAATTGGAGAAACTGAGGAAGAACACCTTCAATCTAAAAGTTCGGGAAGTGGAATCTGAGGAAGAAGAATTATCTGCTTAGCCGACCTAGATGGTTCAGCTGCACGACTATGGTGTAGTTATTTTTTCCGTTCAGATAGTTAAGGCGGCGTGTCTTAGAGTGCATTTGTTTCGGAAGGAGGAGCTTGAGGACAATGTGTGTTGAGTATCTGGTATGAGTGATTAGGTGATTTTTGGCGATTTCCGGTGATTCGTAACGAGCATAACCTTAATTAAAACACACATATTGACTTCTTGAATATTGTGACTTTCGCTGTGAGAATTAAGGTGGAGTGACCCGAATACCCCAAACTATCCAACAGTTATGATGTGGTATCGCATTCATGGCGGAGTGGTTTTGATAAAGTATGTACACCAGTACTAGCCAGGACATGAAAACCTAATAAGAGTGGTTTATATTATTCATAATTATGTTTATAGATTTTCCACTCGGAAACAAATATTGGTATTATGATGACTACATGGAAAGGCATAAGATAATTCGAAAGTTATTAACTAATATCGGTATGTATGTTAAATTTTCAACATTTCGGAAGGGCGCGTGCTGCAGCGGCCGCTAGTGCTATTTTAATTCAAGACGCGTCTCCCGAGCAACGTTTAACAAACCGTCCATGATCTTTGGACCTTGACCAAATCTGCCAATGACATGAATATTTCACAAAACGCAAAAAAAAGGTCTAGACTCGTCTTTTCTTGATTATGGCACCGTCAGAACCACCAAGCACGCGAAAACGTATCAGATCTCGTATCTCAGATGAGGTCGACGAATTATCCCCATTACCTGCAAGAACACAAACATCTGCAGCGAAACGTCGAAAGGTAGATGCGCCTACCTACACGCTTGGCGGTATTTCGAATCGATTCAAGAAACTCCTCGGATTGGGTGCTAAGAAGGATACTGAAGACAGTGCAGATGAATTGGGCGAGGACATCTACGACTTCAAGGTCACGGATGATGAAGAAGAGAGTACAAATGTTTTGGGGAAACCTAGTGCCAAACCGATGGCAAAAAACATTAAGGCAGCAAAGTCTACAGCGAAGGGAGTGATCTTATCCGCAAAACGGGGGCGTGGGCGGCCGCGGAAGAATGAAGATGGTCTCGGGAAGGCGAAAGCATTAGCACAACAAGCTATCCAAAATGAAACTGCAAAGAACAAACAGGATATGGAAATTGAAACTAATGACCAAGACGTCGAGTCTGCCGAGGCACCTTCGAAACTATCCAGTGGCCGGTCGACGAGATTATCTGATTCAAAGAACAATATTTCAGGAGCTCGAGGAAAGACCAATGGAGTACCTGAATCTAGCACACCCAAACGCGGCCGGCCGAAACGACTAATAGATGGTCTGGGGGATTCCATGGGTGTAGTCCCAAAAGGAATTCTGACACCTAGCAAATCTAGGAACTCGACGATAAGGAAGAGTGTTGCATTTGACGAAACTGGCAAGGATAGCTTAGAGGGCTTTAAGGATATTCCGGTACGTTTAGGGATTTATGAGACAATGCTGTTCAAAGTTGGGTAGACTTGAAAGTGTATTACATAGTGTATTTCTTGAAGAGCTACGTACTAACGCGCACTAGTCAGAGCCACGCTCTAAGAAGTCGCGGGATAAAACCATACCATCCACGTCGCTGACAGTCACTCAAAATGATGAAGAGGAAGATCCTGTTTGTGAAATTTGTACGAAACCTGACTCGAAACGCCCAAACCTAATATTGTTTTGCGATGGATGTCCCCTTGCTGTCCATCAAAAATGTTACAGTGTGCCAAAAATACCAGATGGAGATTGGTTCTGCAAAAAGTGTCAAAGAAACAGGGTTGCGGCAGAAGCAGCTAGGGCTAATGAGAATGATGCTTTAAACGACTCGGATGATGAAATAAAGTGCGCTGTTTGCAGAGGGCTGGATTCAAAGAAACCGAACGAGATTATCTTATGTGAGAATTGTGATTATGCTGTTCACCAGACATGTGGCGATATACCCAAGAAGCCTCGAGAAGAATGGCTTTGTAAGGCTTGTGTGTCCCATGTAGATTATGATCTGCTTGACGGGGAAACAGATCTGAGTCCGATCTCAATTGAAGTACCCACCATTGAGGGTTTCCAAACTCATCTCCAAACAATGCAACGAGTATTGCTGGACCGACTCACAGGACAGAAACGTCTAAGGATCCACGGACATGAAGATGAGGTACATAAGGTGCATCAACTCGTCGAACAGACAGTTTTGGCTGGTGAGGGTAACTCCATGTTGATTATCGGTGCGAGAGGTTCTGGAAAAACTACTGTAAGGTTCCTTGTCCAAAATCAAATTTTCTAACAAAGCTGACTCATGCAAGCTGGTCGAGTCCGTAATTTCAGATCTTGAGAAAGTTCATAGAGAAAGTTTTCATGTTGTCAGACTTAATGGATTTATCCACACAGACGACCGCCTTGCGCTGCGGGAAATATGGAGACAGTTGGGAAGGGAAATGGAGATTGAAGATGACTCTAATGGCAAGGTAAAATTCCTTTGGTTTGAAATCACGCCAGCATTAACATGGTATGCAGATTAGCAACTACGCTGATACGCTAGCTTCCCTTCTGGCTCTGCTTTCCCATCCATCGGAGATATCAGAAATCGAGGCAGACCATACTGCTAAATCCGTTATCTTCGTACTAGACGAATTTGACCTCTTCACGACCCATTCTCGACAGACTTTACTTTACAATCTATTTGACATTGCACAGGCGAGGAAAGCCCCCATCGCTGTACTTGGTCTTACCACTCGTGTGGATGTAGTCGAGAGTCTAGAAAAAAGAGTCAAGAGTCGTTTTAGCCACCGATATGTACACTTATCATTACCTAGAAGTCTTCCGGCATTTTGGGGAGTATGCAAAGAGGGCCTCATTGTTGACAGCGACGATTATGCCGAAGAGGGATTTGATATCTCGACACCCGGACAGAGAGAATTCCTGTCATTTTGGCAGACAATGATTGAGGTAGATTCCGCATTTCCTTGCCTACACTCGTGCATAGCTAATACATTACTGTCAGGAACTGTATAATAACGACGCAAATTTCAAGCATCATATCCTATCACACTTCTACAGGTCTAAATCGGTGCCTGCATTTTTCACCTCCTCTATCCTTGCCATATCAACTCTTTCGATGCAGAATTTTCCCCTGCGCGGCCAATCATTCAACCTGGCCAATCTGGCACTTTCGGCGCCGGACTCTAAACTTCACATTCTTCAAGGTTTATCCGAGTTAGAGCTCGCTATGCTGATAGCTGCCGCACGACTTGATATTATCCTTGACACGGACACTTGTAATTTTGCAATGGCTTACGACGAGTATAGCTCCTTAACGTCGAGGCATAAGGTACAGACATCGAGCACGGGTGTTACTGCTTTGGGAGGAAGTGCCAAGGTATGGGGGAGAGACGTTGCTTTAGGAGCATGGGAACGGTTGGTAGAGTATGATTTGCTCATATCTGCAGCTATTGGCGCGGCACAAGTAGGTGGGATCGCAGGTCGTATGTGGAAAGTTGATATTGCATTGGAGGAAATTCCGGGTAGTGTGGAGGGCCTTGCTGGGATTATGCTGAAATGGTGTAGAGAAATATAAACTCGGTATCTATTGATCCATTAATCATGGCATATTTGCAATATTGACATTGGTCGGTTTCATCGCCACGTGGTGAGGCGCGATATAAATAGCCCTGTTTCTGAGGGGAATGTTTGATAAGCTGACCTGTCTGCGGGTACCGACATATCTCTTCTCCTTTCAGATTGTGTGTGAGGCGCGACATCCAGATTTTCGTCTAGAATTTACAATCCGACTCCAAACACTTGGGTCAGAAGAGGACGAACCCCAGAGAGGGCGATATTGATATATTTAGCCTGCACTTCTTTCATGAGGTGCTCGAAATATGTTACAAAGGAGATGATTATTTTCCTAATCTGTATATGGCTTTCCAGACGGCTATTACCAATTACGCAGAGTCTAGTAGGTAAGTTTAAATTGATAATTGTACAACACCAAATACTTTACCAACGAAGGATGCTTGTTCTCTGCATGATTATGTTTGAGCTGATTTGTAGTTTGAACATAATACTTGTTTCCATTGGCTTCAATGAAGGATAGACGATTGGTCAGCCTCGTCCTGAGAAGTTCACCAGTTTGGAGCTGGTAGAGAAGGCAGCGTACACATTTTTTTCCGATTGCCTTGTCTTTCTCATTTTATTTTGAACTCCCCTCTGCTATTCAAATTCTTCACTCAATCATTCATTTTACTTAAGACATCTATTCTTCTACGTGAAAATCGCAGCAAGAATGGAAAATCTCGGTGCGTCAGATGTGGTGGAGCGCCTAGAAAGCGTCGTGGCCTATGCTGGACAACTTTCTCACTTTTCTCGTAGACATCGGTATGACTCTAGTATACCACATATGGTTGATGAGTATACTAACCTTTTCAGCTCTAATATTGGTACGCTCAACGAGGTGCTAGATCTGCTTCTGCGAGAAGGGGTTGGCATGAATTAAATTCGACTCTTTAGTGATGAGGTACTTGGATATTTGAATCTTCTAAGAGTTGAGTGTTCTAGGAGGAGAATATGCTACAGTATTAATTAAGATTGCTCCCAAGATGCGAAAGATGGTGTAAGAAAGGAAGTAAAGACTACGCAAAAATGCGAAAGAGCCTGCAGTGCCAACGCAATCGCAGCTTGACAGGGAAAATTCTTAAAGAAACTTGACAAGATAATATGGTATCGCGTAGACGATGATACGCGTGCCTACCTAGTACATGGAGCATTTCAAAGATATTCAGTTACCTCTTCTCTTGGTATACCAAATTATTACCCTTGGCTCACTTTCTAGAGACTTGTTAGTTCAATCTATACCATTGCGAAATGATTACTTACCAAATAGATCTTACAGAGCGGAGAGACGGATATTCAAAAGATCGTCGGCTATTGCGAACGAATCAACGGCATACTTAATCTTATTAAGACTTCTCCATCACATGCACTTCGTTATTTCCGTGCGCGAGCCAGCTCTTCATATACACACAGTGATTCAGATAGTGAAAGTGCTGTCAGCTCGATTATCTCCAGCAGAAGACGAAATTCAACCCCAAAATACACTTGCGCTGAGCCGTTACCTCTGCCTCCTTCTCACCTCCGCATATAAATAGAGGTTCTCATCCATCTAACTCCGCTGCGCCGCTTCCCCATCCTAGCAGACATCTGGCAAGATCGTCAGTTTTCAACCTCTGCATATTCCCCAAGAGGAGATGTGAGTAACACGAATGTGAGGAAACTCTGATCTAGTCTCACGCCATCTTTGGTAGATGGAAGCTCGCTGTTCTGTGAAGTCTCGAAGTAGAACTTGGACATCTAAACATTTCTCTCCGTGTCTTTTTACAACACAAGAAACGCCATTTAAGATTCACAGCATATGAATCCCTATGAACTTTTTTGTGGTAATACTGTTGACCTCCTGGGATCTTGGCAGTATATGCATATATATTGCATGATGCATATAAGGAGCAAACAAAACTCAACTTTTAATTCATTCTTTCCTTTTTGGTATACTGTTTGTTTGCTTTCAATATTTTGATTTCAAAGCACTTTAATTCCGAAGGCTGAATACCTAACCTTATTCCTTCATTTTTTTTTGAATATATACTCGCAGCTTAACTGCTTAGCTAGAGAATCAATCAATTCAATCTGATGCTCTTTCTGGTCTCAAGAAACCCAATAAGTATCCATCACACCTTCCAAACCACAATCGCAAGCGAAAGGACGCGGCAAAACTTGAGTTACGAGCATGACTCATGAGTGATCTAAACTCCAATAGCCGTGATAATTTGATTAAGAGGTTTTTAGATCTTTGAACGCTGAATAGGGAAGGCGAGTGCTGAGAAATCGAGCGAGAGTTCCTATTAGAAGAGATTAGTTAGGTGTTGTGTTTTGGACTAGGGGTTCAGACGTATGTGGATTGTTCTTTGTAATCTTAGTTTTGATTTTATGATCTGATTAAGCTGGAAATGAAATTCTTGTGATGTTTGATAGATATAATAATACTATTTTATACTATACTATACGCAAATTGATGGATAGAAAGTTCATGAAGGGTTTAACGAATGAATGAATGAATATAGTAAGATATGATTTATATTCTAGATGGGCGATTCGAAGAAAATACCTGCATTCATTCTATAGTAATGTTTTAACGTTGTTTTGATTCGGTTTTTGTTGAAGCTATGAATAAGGTAGAAGATGACTTCGATTTAGATTTTGTTTATATCGGAATCCTCCCAACACGGCTCTTATTCTAAGAAGTACGATTGGATGTTCTGACTCAACATTATAATGTTGTTACCCAACTCAGTCTACCTTCCTTTATCTCCACCCACTGCGCCCAACGATTTGATCATCCCAGCTTTCCAAACACAAAAACAAGCAGTGTAGTAGATCTCCCCAATTTCCAGTTATTTATACATGCACGCACACAACCAGAATAATCCTAATCAGCCAAAAGAGTCTCCACAAAACATCACATATCAATCGAACCGGAGTCTCCCAAAAAAAATCCAAAAAAAAAAATCCAATCAACCAACTAAACCTTCTGAGAAACCACCGACCCCAGAGAAGAAGAAGCACACAAACGTCCATTAAAAGTTTTCCTCCCTTCCAATTCCTCCAACGGCATCATATCCAAATCCGCCTGCATACTATCCATCGGCGCGCGTCTTCTCCATCTCTGCACCAGAAACCCAATCAAACCAATTATGGCACATAGGACCACTAATCCTCCAATGATAGCTACCGCTACGATAGCGGCGTGGGGGATGATGCTCATATTACTAATTCCATCATGATATGTTCTGGAAGGGTAATCGAAGATGGGTTGTGGAAATATTTGTTTGGGATTATTCGGATTGGGACGCTTTGTAATGCGAAGAAGGGATGGTTTGCTCCGGTTGTGTTTGGGGTTGTTAATATTGATAGTATCGGTGTACGTGTCGCATAGGTTATTCTACCATCTGCGCCAACCCAGATATCGAGGAAGATGACCGCTTGTCGTTTTGGCTGTATACCCTAGATATACATAAGATATCCCAAGCGGTATATTAGCTTGACAAGGACAAGCTAGGAAGGAATAAATTCCCTGCGGACCAACACGAGGAGTAACGCAGTATGGAATACCGGAACCACTTTTGCACCTTCGGATTATCCTGCCAAACAATGTATGGGACTAACTAATGAAAAATGCTTGAATTAGCAACGTAGGCGTGGTTCGCGGTCGCGGTCGCGGTCGCAATAACAGAGGATTTTATAGGGAATGCCAGAAGTGAAATAATCGATCGAAGTTGCATACCCATCCGCACCCCACCAACATGAAGGAGGAGTTCCAGAAACAAGACGCAGAACCAGGAGATAGCTAACCTTAATTAATATGGTTGTACGAGGTGGGTGGAGATCCGGTTTCAGTACGAACCGGGATTATGGTCTATCCGTTCACAAATATTTGACGACTCGTGCGTATGATTCACGGTGGAAGAGAAAGTGGTGATTTGGGTAGGTTTTGGTGTTTGACTCCACAGCTAATAAGTAGTTTGACTTACTTGTGGTAGATGTTGAAGAGACTGCTTTCGAAGAAATTGCGTTAACTTGTAAAAGCACGGTCAAAAAGCCTTATTTGACCATGATAGTCGTACATGGAAACGATATAGTGTTGAACAAGATGGATGCTCTTCGAAGCCCAATACGAACGACATCCACATAAACCAAACCAAACTTGGAGGTATAGAGGATGTTAATTATGAGTAAAGTAAGAAACATTCCAGCTGGAAAACGAAAATTGATACGTGTGGCGTATTGAAACACAACGAGCCACCTCCACCTTGCATCACACTAAATTTCCGAGATCAGGCCATCTATCATCCCTTGGTGAATCACTGATTACTTTTAATCCATATTCGAGGCGCTTGTCTCAAGACACTGATCTGGTTCATCATTATTCTTCATTTATGCTAGTATATCTAGGTACCTAGCTCCATTTTATTTTGGCAAGCTCACAGCATTTGCTGGTCGAGTATCAAAATCATCCCATAACCCCGTGAACGCCTAGCAATGTACATTAAATCATCCTTCACAATGGAGCGGCTGCATCATCTGATTCGGTTATTGGTATCTCAGCAATAGCTTGAGCGGCACCAACGGCATGAAACCCATCAAGAGTTACCTTCACAGCACCTGCTTGGACGAGCTATGGAGAGTTAGCATTACAACTTGGAAATTTTCAGCTTGTACTTACAGCTCGGCTCAAATCATCTATCAAATCTGTTACGTCCTCAATTCCAACACACAATCTAATGATGTCTTCTGGCATCTGTCTTTCCTTCCTCGTCTTTGCATCAATACTAGCATGACTCATTTGGCACGGCATACTGATCAGACTGTTGACACAACCGAAACTAACACTAATGCCCCATAACTTTGCAGCTTCAACAATTCTCTCGGAGAGAGCAACATCACCTGTTTCGAAAGAAAGTACGGCTCCAGCTCCACGAGCCATAGACCAGTGAAGATCGTATTGAGGATGAGATTTCAGACCAGGGTATCTTACACGGAAGCCATGTGATTCGAGGAATTCAGCAATTGCTTGAGCATTCGTCTGTTGTCGTTCCATACGGATTGCCAAAGTTTTTATTCCCCTCATGAGTAAGAATGAGTCGTTTGGCGAGAGGCCACAACCAGTAGAATTGATTGTGAAGTACATCTTATCTCCAATAGTGGGATCGTTGAAAGCTAAAACACCGGCCATAATATCGTGATGTCCAGAAAGATATTTCGTGCCTGACTCATAAACAATATCTGCGCCGAGGTCCAATGGATTGCATAACATGGGGGAGAGCATGGTGTTGTCAACCACAACCAAAGCCTTCTCGTTCAGCTCGTGTGCGGTCCTTGCAATTGTTGCAATATCGACGATCTTTATCAAAGGATTGGTTGGAGTCTCTAGTAAAACCATAGCTGTTTTAGGTCCTAAAACCGCTTTGACTTTGTCGGGGTTGGTCGTATCAACATGGTGTACAACTATACCGGTGTTCGCAGCCAGGTATGTCAACAATCGATTGGTACCCCCATATAAATCATCTCCTGTGATAACTTCATCACCCGGTCGTAGAATTCGTGTTATAACATCTAATGCGCCCATACCAGACCCGACGACGAGCGCACGGGTAGCGTTCATAATCTTGGCGAGATGTCGCTCTAAATGTGTTCTTGTAGGATTGCCGGAACGAGTGTAATCGTATTCTGATCCGCCGCCAGCTAAGTTCTGTTTGAATGTGGCAGATTGATAAATTGGCATACTTGATGCTCCATATTGATCCTTCGTCTCTGTGTAAACTAATTCGGTGGCCAACGCATATCTTCTGCCATTGTGTGGACTGGAGGGTGCAGGTGAGGGAGGAAGGTTGTGACCATCAAGATCGATGTGCGGGAATGCTTTGTTGAGAACACCATTCGCCTTGCCAGACCCGGATGCAGATGAGGAGCCTGATGGTGAAGACATAATTGGTATTGTGAATCGGGGTCGCGGAAGGTCGAAGCGGGGAAAATCCAATTGATGAGGCCAAATGGTATGTAACAGTGACTGAATGAGATGATGGATGAAGTTGGGATTGGAATTTGGTGTGTAATGCTAAATCGGTTTTTTATATTGCAAGTGAAAATATAAGATGACAATAAAGTATTTTGATCGTAAGACTCAAATTTTGTTTTTGTTTCCCCAGATATAAGGGAGGGACCGTCACGCCGTGAATCGGACTCTGACTCTGAAGATGTGGGGTGTTTGGACGCTAAAAATGACGTGCTCAATGCTCACTTATCATGATTCGCTTCAAGATATGGATCTTGAATTATACGGAGTAAGCATCTACATGAGGCATAATAGTAGCAACAGTAGTAGATGAGCGAGACGAAAGGGTAAATATCATCTTGAAGGAATGTGTAGATGGACAGAGTCAATTCCAGATGAGAGTAAAAGAGAAAAGTACGGTACGTTGTGAACATGATTTGATGAGGTTAATAACCTTGATCATAAATAATAATTTCATTCAGGAAGAGAAAGAGAGAGTTATCCTTTCTTTGTTTCTACACAAACAGAAATCCATCCCCTCTAACGCCGTGCAAAAGTATGTTACTATGTTACAATGCAATTTTACTTATGTGACCAAATGTACCTGATGAATTCCTTAATCCATTGATTCAGTAATACTCTCTTCGACATCTTCGTATCCATCACAAGAATTTGTACCTCTTTTCGTAGAAGTACTGGCTGCTGCTATGTGTCGTGCATGATTATCCTTAATAATTTGCCCACCCCCTTTTCTACCGAAGAAATCCTCCGTCCTAACTCCTCGAACGTGCGTTGAATCAACACTAGTCATAGACACACCACTTTCCCTTTGCTCTCTGATAAACTCTCGAACTGGAACCATAGCGGCATCTCTGCACGCCTCCTTGATATCACTTCCTGACATACCAGCCATGACTCTTGTAAGATAATCGATGTCGAAGTCGTTTGGATCAGTCTTGGTGTTTTTTAATATCAAATCCAAAATCCGTCTTCTTTGCAAATTCGATGGTAATGAGACAGGGAATTTCTTAGGCATTCTTCGCAGAATTGCCTCGTCGATATCTTGCATTCGATTTGTAGCACCCAAGATCATAATCCGATCTGGCAATCCACTCTTATTCGATGAAGTAAGTCCGTCCCAAAGCGTCATAAACCTATATTTGTGAGCTGGAGTTGCGAAAAATTGAAATACTGTTACTTACTCTGCTTTCACCATACCACTGGCTTCATGTTCACCACTCCGTCTTTGTCCCAAAACTGCATCTATCTCATCGATAAACACAATACTGGGTTGCAATTTCCGGGCTAAAGAAAACACTGCGCGAACAAGTTTATTTGAATCACCATACCACTTCTCTGTCAACGTCGAGATATGCAGATTGATAAAGCAAGCTCCACTTTCATGCGCCAAAGCCTTTGCCAACATAGTTTTGCCGCATCCTGGAGGACCATATAGTAATACACCGGAAGGTGCAGATAAAAGAGGGGACGAATGCGAATATAAATGAGGCATAGTGAGAGGGTAAATGACGGATTCCTTTAATTCTTCGATTATGTCGTCCAAGCCGCCAATATCTACATAATATTAGCATTGCCATATTACTGTTTGAGAGAGGGTGCTAACCGTCGAAACCAACGGGTATATCTTCCGGGGCTACAACTTCCATTGCAATTTGATTTTCATATTGATCGAGGATTAAATCCTCTTTGCGGGGACGGCGCGACTTTTTCTTCCCCGAAACTGTTTCTTCTGAGTCCGATTCATCATCACTACCCCTCCTATTTAATCTTCGAAGGTTTGCCGCGGCTTTTAATCTTGCTTCTTCATGCTGCTCTTTCTCCGCATCGTTCTGAAAGGGTAAAGCTGGTATTAAACTCTTCGCGACATAGTAAAAAGAGGCCGTCTTCAAGTACCAGATACATTAGTTGCTGCTGTAAACTACGAGGTGAAGAGCTGTCTGGCATACTCACAGACACAACGATCAATAATAGATCCTGTAAGAGACCATACTTCCTACTATTACCATCCCCCATCATGACGCGCAAAGCTTAAGGAAAGGCCGAGCCACTAGATGTGCAGCTTGTTGATCCTTCTATGAGAGTTGGTGAGGGATTAGAAAGCTACAACCTCGAACTTTCAGTTGTCGAAGGAAGAATTACAACTAATTACAAAGTCGAAATGGCGGCGGTTTTGTTCTACTCAAGTACCTAGCTTGTGGTGTGGCGTTTATCCGGTGTTCTAATGTGGCTTAACCAGTCCAAAGTTTTTAGCACGTGCTATATGATAAAACCCCGATAAGCCACATCTAGGTTAGCTTTGTTTACATTGGGAAGAGAAGAGGCTTCCCCTCGATTTCGGATGGAATTATCCGTTGCCCATCTCACTGTTTACACTTCAGTCACTCCAAGCCTCATCTGTCGCATTGTATCGCATAGACGTTCACCTTCTTGTGAAGATATTCAGAATAACGCGCTTGACCGCCAAAAGCACATTAATTCTTCAATTATCTCGCGTCACAATCAAGCGCATTGTTTACAATAAATGTCGAAATACAAAAACTCAACACTTGCAGGATTAATAGAATCAGATTCGGAGGATGATCATTTGGTAGAGCACAACATGGCGAAAAAACAATTAGAAGACTCTGCCGTTACGAAGAAAGTGCGAGGAAGACCCAAGGCAGCACCGTCCAAAGTTACAAAAACAAAAGCTCCGGCACGTCGCACCAGTGGAAGGTTAAACGAAAAGCCAACGCCAGAACCATCGACCCAGGCGAAGAGAGGGAAAAGAAATGTGTTGGTAGACAAGACTAATGGGTCGAAGAGTGCTGAAAAGGAGATGGAGCAAATCGACGAGACAGGAGACGTCACTATGGAGGATGCAGCTTCGGGCGATGAATTAGATGCTGAGGTTATTGCGGTAAAGGAATCCAAAGCCAAAGATGCAAAGAAACCAGCTACGGCTCGAGGTAGAACTGCCAAAACGGTGGCTCCAGAACCAGACGTCGCAGAAGAAACTGTGGCACCCGTGGGCAAAAAAGGCCGACCTGGAAGAAAAGGGAAAGGAAAAGCACAGGAAGAGCCCGCACCCGAGCAACAATCGCCAGAAAAGGTCATTCAAGAAACCCAAGTACCAGAAGTGGAGATGGAAACGGAAGTAGATATCGAAGAATATTCGATACTTGAAAATAGCATACCTGAAGTTAAAAGAAAAGAATCTCGCCCATATAACGAGTCTCGACGACGACAAATGTCTGTTTCGCGGCATCGAGCTGGTAGCGCATCAGATACGGAGAGGAACGAGCCAGCTGTTAGACGCAGACTTGGTGAACTTACAAAAAAGCTTGAGAATGTGGAAGGGAAATATCAGGATCTTCGGGAGGTTGGGGTCAAGGAAGCCGAAAAAACATTTGACCGATACAAGAAAGCAGCGGAGGAAAAGACAAAAAGTAAAAAGGCCTAAACCCTCAATCCGCCAGCTACTAACTTTGAGTAGCCTCAGATGAACTTATCGCTTCACTGAAAGCCAATTTGGCGACTCAAACTTCTTTAGCAAAAGAAACACGAAGTCTGAAGAAAACAATCGAATCGCAAGATGCATTAGTGACCAATCTGCAAGCCCAAATTAATCAATTAGAATTGGCTTTATCGGAGGCACAGGTCGAAAATAAAACCCTATCTACCAAGCTTGCAGCGAGTCGCAAGATAACGGCATCATATGAGAGCGCGAATGTCAAAGTTCCAGGTAGCGCTATAAAAGCCAATGGTGGCATGCGCATGATTGGAAGCCAAGAGGCGGCTCAAGCCGCACAAGCCGCTCAACTGAAAGAAGATTTATACAGTGATTTGACCGGATTAATTATACGGGGAGTCAAGCGAGAAGCAGAAGAAGATGTCTTTGACTGTATACAGACTGGTCGTAACGGCAGTAAGTTTCCTATGCCTTGTTCATATGATGACTTCATACTAAATGTATAATAACAGCTCTTCACTTCAAACTAGGTGTTGAAAACGAAAAAATGGCAAACGGTGATGCAGATTGCCGATACACACCACTCCTAGACCCCAGCAGAGATAAACCATTACTAGAGTTGTTGCCAGATTATCTTGTAGACGAAATAGAATTTCCAAGACCACAAGCTGCTAGGTTTTATGCACGGATTACGAGAGCACTCACCGAAAAACCTGCAAGTATGGGCGGGCCTGTAGATGAAAGTGATGAGTAGATTACAGTTTACATTAGGCGTTAATTGGACAGCTATCCTCGCGGGCAAATGGATGAGGTGTTTAGGAGTGAGGGATACATCTATCGAGTATTTGAGGAACAACAGTGTTTATGAATTTATACCTGTTTATATGATACCTATACATCTGTTAGTTATCCTAATTATCAGTTGATTGCAATATATCATTCAACGATTTCGGGAAGTGTCCAGTTTCAATTCTAACACTCGGTTTATGGTAATTAGTCTTGGTGTCAGATACTGTACGGTCTCAATTATGGCACTGGTGAACCGTAGCTCGTACTTTGGTATCAGAGGATATCCATATTTGCAACGGCACTTCGATTACAACGTCTAGCAGATATTATGTTCAATATGGGCTTCACCCTCCAGGTCCCCCGGTAGCATTGAGAATACCTAACTCCCTTTACTAGATGAGAACGAAATTTGCCCCTTTTACAGGAAATCGAATCGATATCTGGATATGTTGTCGTCAAGACGTCTGTCTACTTTACGTTAAGTTGAATGTGTGAAATCAGTTCGTTTGAATATCGATATTTATGGATAACTCTATTTTTGATCACAGATAGATGTAAGTTATATAAGTATTAAGTAGGTAGTCTTTCAACTCTGAAAATATCACCGCTCGTAAGCTCGCTCTTTTACTGGGTTGATCTTGGGGGTATATATATTGAATATCAGAATGAATAGATAGATAGGGTGATGGATGGGTGAATTGTGTTTTTGACGATTATGCTGTGATTGGACGATGTTTCTGTTTGGGTTGCCCTTCAAAGTAAGTGTTTTCCGACTCTTCCCTCAGACTATATATATACTGATTAGCTCGGCCGTCCGCAGTCCTCGCATATTGCGGAGCGGAATGATGAAGTTGTCTTGGAGTTTATATGGTATGCTATGCACCTGTCTTCCCACGTCCCAAAATCATCATAAATCCAAACCTCAATTTTTCGTTCAAAACTCTATGGTTTCATTCCTCGGCCCATAGCGAGTAGTCCTATCAGGTTTCACTGCTTATAAGGGAGGATTCCGAGAGTCTCACAGGTCAACTTCTTCCTATGATTCCAAAAATTCGTAAACTCACTGTGCTCACAAGGGAGGGGAACCTCCTCCCCAGCAAGATAGCTCACGTGTACTTGTGATAGAATATGACAGATTCCGGGTTGAGAGACTGGTTGGGTTCTGTCATTTGCCAATATGATTGTACTATTCAGGAGTTTGACGTGGAAGATACCGAAGAGTACGTTACCTTCTAGCGTGCACAGATCACATGTTTCCCTCTATTAGTCAGCCTTCCGTACACCCCCACCAAAAAACAAAGCAGTGAACAAAACTTCAAAATTACGGTCCCAGCCAAAATACTGGATATCAAAAGCTCACCAGATGAAAAAACAACCACAATAGCAAAAGACGAGGGGCCCGACCGGGATTTGAACCCGGGACCTGTCATATTCTATCACGGAGTATACGTGGGGAGAGTATCCCGAAACAACAATCATTCTACTAGACCATCGGGCCGGTCGTGTTTGTTTTGTTTTCTGGGCCACTATTTTCTTGTATATTTATCTGAAGAGCAGGAGAATCAAATGCGTGAACCGGCTGTACAATCGGATGAACTCCACCGAAAGGTTTAGGAGAAGAAAATTGTCCTTAAGCAATCTTTTGAATACCCCATTTTGTATATTCATACATTCTGTCGATATCTGTTGGGCCAATTTCATTTTCAATGATTTTGGAGAATAGAGGCAAATGTACTTTAAATCGCAAACTTGCACATTATGAAAATTATTCGTAGAATTTTTCCAAAATTGTGAAACTTAGTTTAATTTTCTCGTTGTCACTCGCTTAGTTTGAGTTGATGAAGGGGCACAGAGGCATTATCAGAGTGGACTTTGTGGGGAAAATAAGCTACAAGCTACAAGCTACTCGGACATGCACGAAACGATTTCGGCGCGCAAGTCAAAACATGCATCAAGGCTGATGCCTCGAAAAGTATCAAAATATTCATTCATGTATGAGATGAGGTTTCTGCATATGATGATATTATATCTCGCATGCTAGTGATTATATCGCTATTCACTGTTATTTCTTTTATTAAAGGTAATTATCACTAACGCTTTGACCTTCCAACATCCTAGATAGTTAGGTATCTATCTATCTTGGCCATTATGATTTTGGCACAACTCATTTTAATGGGAATGGGACCCGGAATAATGGGTTGATACGATTGAAAATGATCTTGAATTGATAATTAAGCACATATGGATTCTTATTTACCCCCACCGGCATACAGTGAGACCTACGAGTCACCACGGCCTCGCGATGGCACGCAGGCCTCCCAAATTAGGCGTAAGCCTTTGACACCTAGGTTGGAGACGGCAACGTCTTCGGAAAGCGATATCTTTACTTCGACGAAGCATGGTTATGATATACAGGGAAACCGGAAGACAGATGAACATGGTTCTATCAATTATGCTCCAGCTTCACTATCACAATCGCAGGCAGATTCTCTCAAAATCGCGAATTTCAAAACTCTCCAAATTACCCAAACGAGCACGAACATCCAAAGAACAATTTCCTCCTCAGCAACACCCGTAGATTTACCACCCACCAAAAGTCCCTCCATAATTACAACCAAAACATCCTCAGACACATCATCCACCGCAATCAGCTCATCCTACATCACCAGCGCATATCGCGAAGCACGACACTTCGCCGGGGGGCTCATAACCCACCCATCCGAAAGCACAAAACACTATTCTATTCTGCGACATTCACACGGCTTAGTATTTTATCAAGGATCTTCAACAACTCTTGCCATCTCAATCTTTTCCGATGCGCCTTTACCAGCAGGTCGACAGGTATGGTTACAAAACAAGGGATGGAGTGGAAATACTGGGATGCGCTTGAAGGCTTTTGTAGGGAGTAATAGCAATTGGTTGAACGTCACGCCGAAGATGTGTATTTCCACAGAGCAAATTAAAGAAAGTGATGAGAGAGCCTGGCAACGCGATATCAAGAACTTCTTAAAGAAGACCAAATATCCAAACCACATATTGCGGGAAACCCTAATCATCCGCATCCCAGTCGAAGCAAGCGATGGCTATTTCCACCTAGTACTGTGTTCCGACGAACAGAAAAAAGTCCTCTGTCCCAGTCCCGTATTTCGCATTATTTCTGCATCGACAAGTCCTTCTTCGATAAGAGGTGCTAGTCTAAGTACTTTACCCTTGGAACTTGGTGCTATGGCCATGAGCACTTATGCCAATAAAACCATTGGAAGAATGATAACACCCGTTACAAATGCTGCTGAAAAAATCGCTCATCCATTTATGCCATCGCCAGCGAGGAAGGAAGCAGCAAGGACACTTTATGCAAAAAGTGGAATGATGGGTGATATGATTAAATCCAGCATTGCGGATGGAAATATCCGATATCACGAAATGCGAAATTTCTCGTACTATCAAGCTAGAAATGGAGATAATGAGACCGGTCCTAAACCTCCTTACCCTATTTCTTTCACCGCACGAGCGGAGATGCAAATTCGAGAAACAGGAGGAAAAGAAGAAGATGATGAATTCACCATGCCCGCTATGAAATTATCAGGTATAGCATTCCATATTTCCCATCAACTCCACGGGCACTATTTCGCATGGACACGACAACATGCTATGAGAGGACACGAAAATACCCATGTGAATACATGGTCTCAGAGCGTCATCTCATCATTACCAATGCAAGCGTCGGATTTGCAGAAAGCTACAATCACAGAAGCTAGTAAACGGATCTTTAAAATTCATTTTATATCTGAGTTTTTCGAGGCTCGGACTTACGATGCGAAATTAGTTGATGTTAGGATTATGGGGTTTTTACGTCCGGATTATGATACTGCTCATCTTTATAATCATTCTCATTCTCATTATCATTCTGGAAATGATACTGATACTGATACAATAAGAGAAGAAGAATTAATAGCATCAATAAACGATATTCTATACACGCGACAAATTCTTGAAAATCCGATTTTTGCACCTGAGGTACAGGATGCAAGGAGTTGGGATGGGGATGTGAGAGGGAGGGTTGTGGAGGGATATGCGGAGTGAGAGTTACCCGCTTACCGAGAGGGGTGGATGGGGTGTTAGGGGGGAGGATGGGGGTGAG